CAGAACCAGCCAGGAGCCTGTAGCCACAAGCCAGCAGTCAGCACAGCTCGGCAGCACTGCTCTTGCATGCTCCCACGGGGAGCTGCACCTTCCAGAAGGCAGCCCCAGCCCCCCGTCCCCCTGTTCACAAGGCCAATGCCCTTCTCACCCCAAAGGCCTCCACCAGCCAGTCAGAATAGCAAACCCCTCATTCTCCATGGGGCAAATCCTCACACTGTTACATCCCTCGTCCCACCACACACCTGCCCTGACACTTTCCAGGCACCCATGATGGCAGCAGCCCCAGCACAGCCTGTGCCTCTGCGCTGGTCAGGCATGAGTACAGCTGAGAGCACTACTGCATCTTGACAGCAGTGAGTCTGCCCTGAATTGCAGACACATGTAGCTAGACCTGCACTGCTGAGCTAGTGCCTGGAAGGGCGTACAGCAGCTGGATCCTGGCTGCCTACGGGGGATGTGCTCGCACCTGCAGGCACCACGCGGCACATCACTGAGGGGGCACTGAGGCCACGGCATGACAATGCCTCCCATTCCAGCAGCTGCACTGCCCCCCTGGATTTTTACTTGTGTCCCTTGACCCACAGCAGAGCAGAGCAGCTGCCTGCCACCCTCATACCCAGCACCCTGGTCTACATCTGGGATCATCTCAGGGGGAGACTAATTCCCCTACTGCACGGCCTGAGTGCCTCAGCCAGGCTCCTCTTCCCATACACACATCACCCACTTACCCAGGGGGTGTCTTAAATAGCATAAATGAGTCTCTCATTAGGAGGCCTGAAGGCCCATCCTCTAAAAGCTTGTTCTCTGGACAGAACCTCCTCGCCAGGCACCTCATACCCAGAAGCAGGCCGGCTCCATCCTCACAGGCTGCAAGGGACTCCCCAGGCCTGCTCAGAAGGAGGTGGCAGTCGGCTATGCCCAGCCATGCTATCCCTCCACTCCCGGTCCAGGGCGCTCTGCACAGGAAGTCAGGGCGAGGGACAGTCTCCATCAACATTCGGTGGTCATTGCCAGGCGGTTCCTATCTCCAGTCAGATAATTTAAGGGGGGAGGAATTGTACCTTTCCCGATCACCTGTCCCTGCCAACAACCGCTGGGCAGCTGAGGGCAAAAGGCACAGCCCTGCTAACTAGGGATCTTCATGCCCCAAGAACACCAGCTCTTTCAAGTTCTCTATTTTTGCTGCTCAGGTACCCCACAGGTCAGGATGCCAGAGCCCCCTCTCAGGCCTGCAGTGCATCTGGCCACTCTCACCCATACAAGACAACCCAACATCAGTAGCAGCCCAGTTCTACTGGAGATCACTGCTCCAGTCCTGAAAACTGGAGGAGATGGGAGGCTTGAAAAGCTGCCACTGACTTCAAAGCAGGGTGGCCAAACCCTGCTCCTCTCTGAGGCAGCTAGCACCACTCTCTAGGGCAATTCAGAGCAAAGGCACCTTCCAGTAACAAATGTTCTGACATCCAAATCAGCATGCAGCGGGTCTGTGAGCCATGCTCAGCACAGAAACGAAGGGACGCAGCACAGATTTTATCCAGCCTTTCTTCAAATCCAAAAACCACACACAGGCACAATGTTAATGGGAAGATTCCTTCACTTGAAAATGGACCTTTGATGTTTAAAAATACTTTGTTTTGTTTTGGGTTTTTTCCTCAGGACTGAAGAGGGACAAAAAGCAGATGCCATGTGGCCAGCCTGGCTCTGGCACTGCTGCGGGAGTAGGGGAGCAGGGAGTGGCAGGAACAGGAGGGAGCGCCATGCCATCAATCAGCAGCAAAAGCAGAGATCAAAGTGGCAGTCAGGATCACCCACGTTTCACACAAGGGCAGAGACCCTCGGACAGGATGGAGCCCGCAGAAGCTGAGGCAGCTCTCAAGAGCTGGGAGGGGATACTAAGTCCAGAGGCACAGGGCTGCACCACACTGAAGTCCTGTTGGAGCAGTAAGGAACCTCGGGGTAGGCCAGAGCTCCCATGCACAGAGTCCGAGGGTGCCCCCCAGCTCTGCTGGGCAGGAGAACGGCAACCCCACCACAGGCAAGAGAACAGGCCATGCCTATGGAGATGAGCTGGTGCAGGCCTACAGCAAAAGAGCAGAGTCCCCTTCACACCCACCTCCTTGCGGATCGGGCAGCAGCCAGAGCAAGCGATTGTTCCTGGGTAAGCAGAAAGCGTGCTGTCAGTCCTGCGGCTGAGCCCCTTCTGCAAGGGGTCTGATGCCGAAGTTCAGAAGGGAGCAGCCACTCTGGAATGTACATGAATATTCATGACTGAGCTGGAAAAGCACTGCTCTGCTGCTTCTCAGGACCTCCAGGTCTAGCCTCTGCTTCCGAGTGTAGGAACCAGCAGAAACGGGGACAGCCCAGATGTAAACCTACATGCAGACACCCCTTGCCTGCAGCCAGCTGTAACGGTTCCTCCTGCAGCTGATGCTGCCTTCTGCTCTGGCAGCTCACTGGCTGCATGAAAGCTGCTTCAAGACACGCAGGTGTGCTTGTGCTTTGGCAGCTGCCGCATGCCACAGAGCCAGGCCAGTGCAGACAGGGTCTCTGTGACAATGGGCAGGGTGGGGACATGTCTACACCTGTCTGCTCCTTGTTGGCATAGGAACCTCCAAGTCCCGCTATGTACAGAGCAGATCTGCCCCTGCCCCAGGCATGCCACTGTTGCATTCAGATGGGCCCCACCAGGCTGCAATGGTCCCAACTGCTGGCCCAACCCAAAAAACAATGGACAAGGGAGGGACCTGCAGTTCATCAGCCCAGGCAGATGGCTAAGGAGGGGCACAGAAGAGACAGCTGTCTTTCCTGGTAGTAGATTGGGCAGAGAGGGAGAACCCAGAGGGGCCCTGCCTGGCCTGAACACAGACAGGTGCGCCCTGGCTTGGCCTATGTCTGAGGACTCTGCTTTTATTCTTCATAACACAGGCTGGTGGGTCAGGAACTCCTCTGCAAGGCAAACGCTACCATTCCTGCATTCTGCCCTACTGCCCACTGGGCACCCAGAAGCCAGATCCAGAGCCAAAGGGAGCTCTGAGGGATGGTGTATGTGCAAGTAGGGAGCTGGGGAGAAGGGGGGGGGGGTGAGGAAGGGAAGGGGGCAGGTGCTGGTCTGGGGACAGGAAGCTGGATTGCAGAGCTCCAGGTCCCAAAGCAAGGCTTGGGAAAGACTGCGGCCAGAGGAGCACATCCGAGAATCTTAGGGCTAGAAACAGCCACCAGACTCCACCAAGATCTGGGTGGTGCAGAGGCATCTGGGTTCCCACACAGACAGGTGCCCGTGGGTCAGGCTGCAGTGCTTCAGGACAGGACACTATCCCAGCACAGACTGCAAGCAAAACACCTCCCATGGTCGGGGCTCCTGTCAGGCTGAACAGAGCCCAAGAACTTCTTCTCAAACCTTGCGACAGTGGAACAAACCTGACTATACCAAAGGTAACTGAGCCACATGCGCACCCACAGCAGATTAGAACATGCAAACCTGGACCCTGAAATCCTGCCTCACCCTTGTAGAACCACAAAGCAAGCAGCAAACGAAGTCTCAGCTCTTTGTCCATAGGGACAAGAGGCGTTTGATGACTGCACCTGGCCCTGTCAGGCATTTGGGCTGTGGCTTATATGGAACCTGCCACAACATCCGGTTCTTGTAGGCTGCACTCCCCACCAGGCCGTGTCCTTCCCTCCAAGCACGCAGCTCAACAGACACCACACCTGTCAAAGCCCAGACCAGCTCAGGGCTGGAAGCAAAGTCTAATTCCCCACTGCTCACCTCCTTCTGCAGTATCAGTCACCCATCCCAGAGGGCAGCACTCCTAGCTAACACAATTTCCTCCTCTTCAAAGGCCACAGCTCAATGCTCATGTTATAGGACAGACAACGCTAGGCACTGGCAAGTCTCTCTTTACAGACGACCTGTTTTCTGCAAAGCACAATGAGAGAAATGCACTCCCTAACCAAGACCTGACACCACACACAAACAAAGCTCCCCTTACCTGCTCATGTTCCTTTGGCTGTCCCTGGCTAGTCTTGGTCTTTTTTGGCTTAGAAGGGCCTCCAGGACTACAGAGAGATGTTGGCAGCTTTGAAGATGGCATGTCTGACACTGGAACTGCTGCAGCTGCAGGAGACTCTCCAAGACACTGCCCACCTCCAGAGAAAGGGACGAAGGGGACAGGTGCTGCGGCAGCCTGCAGCCCCCCTGAGCTGGCCAAGGCATTGGGCTGCTCATCTGTACAGCTCTTTAAGGAGGCAGACACATCTCTGTGGTCCAAGTCCTTTGGGAACGTGTTTGTTTGAAGCAGAGGCAGATCCACAGCTCCTTCAGTGCAGACTGACCTCCGTGGAGGCTCATTTGCTTGGGCTGCAGCGTCCACAGCCTCCTCCTGGCCAGATGAACTGTGCTTCTTCATGACAACCCTGTAAGGAGATGCCAAAGGAAGGAATGAAAGCACTATCACTGACGCTGAGAGCCTGGCCAGCCAGCCCTGTTCCCACCGTGCCCCACACAGAGGGACTGCAGAGCACAAAGAACCCCGGCACTCACAAGCTGCTTCTTAAGGACAGTCAAAGAAAACCAGTCCTAGTTACTCTGAAGTCTGAAAGGCCTGTGAACAGCCCCCACTCCACAGAAGAAGTCTCCCTTTTGGGGAAAAGGACAGCAGTCAGCCCTGGAAGGCACCCAACCTCCCACAGACTGAGCAGGGCTAGTAAACCAGACAGACGGACACCCCTCACCCCAGCCAGGAGGAGGCACTGCAGGGCCCGGGAGTTGAACATGCGTGCCATACAAAGCAGGAAAGGTACAATGGCAGGATTTGTCCTACCCTCAGAGGGACTTTAGCTTGGAATTATCCGATTCACTCAAGGGAAAAAAAAGCCAATCTATGCAAGCCCCTTTAATCTGCACAACACAACTGGTCAGTGCCAGCATCTGCAGCTGCGGGAAGCACATCTGGGAAGCAGTTTCAGATAAACAGGGAAATACAATAATTACTGAGTGCCGCGATGTTTTTCTCTTTGAACTTTTAATGCATTTTTTTCATCCTTGAAACAAAACAAATTTACCACTGGAGTGAAAAATAGAGGGAAGAAAGGGGAAGTGCCCAAGCTGGAAATGCATCTCACTCCTCCCAACCTGATAATGGCGCTGCCTCCAGTCAGGCCAAGCAGTTTCAGTGTTGTCTTCTCCAGGGCATCCCTCCCTGCTATCTGCAAAGGGAGAGAGAGGGGCACAGGTTTAAGGCACCTGCCTGCCAGCCAAAAAGTCAACCAGCAGGGCCCAAGCCGGCAGCCTCAGGCCAGCACGTGGCACCCATGCTGACGGCAGAGCTCAGGGTGCTGCCACTTCCGAGACAGCTGCACATGGGACAGGAGCGTCTCAGAACTGCCCAGCCGGGGACACTTCCACCCCAGAGGGAACACCAGAGGCAGCAATCCCACGCAGAGACTGCAGGTCCCCAGCCTCTACCCCCTCCTTGACCCGCTCCCAGAGGTCAGCGGGAGACACTGGGGCCATCTCAGGAGAGCAGGCCCCACTCTGCTCACACACAACATATTAAACAGAAACGCTAATGCAAGGAGATCAAAACTTGGTGGAAAGCAAATATTTATTAAAATGAAACCACTGTTTTGACTCTTGGGTTTCAGAAGAAGCCGAGAAAAACACAAGCAGGTCATTGAGAGCATTTTATGGGCTCAGAGGTCTGAGCAGCCCTGGGTTATGTTCCAACAGAGCTTTTTTTCCATACAAACACGTCAGGCTTTGAAAAGACCAAAGCTCTTCGACTTCCCCTTTCAAGAAAGGTCTGGGAGAAAACATTTTCCAGGTTGGAAAGTAGCGCTGGGCTTTCCTTATTTTCAAGGACAGAGGGAGGGAGCTGGTGACTTACCTCATCTCGCATGTAAATACAGACTGGGGAAGAGTCACGGGGCTGTTCCACAAACTCCCTGCAAGGAAAGGGAAAGAAAGTGCAGCCATCACTCCAGCCACCGCCCCACAGCCCGTCCCGTGGAGAGGGACAGCGCCAAGTAAGCCGAGCAGGCCACTCTCCATTCTCAGGCACACCAGTGTAAATCCAGAGCAGCTTCACAAGCCCAAGTGAGAGCACTGTGCAGAGGTAAACCCTTGGCTAAACATGCCAATTATCCCTTCAGAGGCGGACGAGAGCTAATGGTTCAGCTGGATTCTGACATGAGTTTCCTAGATCACTCGGACAACTCATGCCCTGTGCCTCAACGCCCCACCTTTAAAGATGGGGTAATACTTTCTTTATTCCACCCACCATCTAGCTTCACTTCTCTGTTACAATGTAGACTGGATTGTGTTTGGGGCAGGGGCTGTTTCTTCTAGCATCTGGTGGAACAGAGTCCCGTGCTAGACATTACTCTGATTCAGCTACACTACTAATCTGAGCACAATGGTGACGATGCAGAGTCATGCAGAATGGATGTGGCAGCAGCTTTTGCATTTGAGAGAGCAAAGACCAAACCAGGCCACATAAAAGGCAGCTGCAAGGCATGAGATGAAGACAGGGCTGGAAGTCCAGTGAGACAGGGCACACACAGGGAGAGCTGCCAGCAGAGGAGATGCAGAAAAGGAGAGTGCAGACTCAAGGACGGAACAGGTGTTTGGTGGTGGAGGAGGAAGTCGAGTGAAGATGCTGCTCTCTCCCTCTCAAGAAACAAAAACTTTCAGTCTAAATATCTCAGAAATGGAAATTTAACTTCAAGTCTCCCTGGCCCAGGCACAACAGCCACTGTTGCCAAGCATCTCATAAATGCTGCAGGGGCTGCAGGTAGGCTGACGCGTGATCCTTGTCAGCAGAAATGCCTAGGTACTCCCGAACAGTAAATGTTGTCCGAGGGCTCCAGAGGTCAGTGCAAAAATAAGTGTCTGGAGGTCCTGGGTCACAAACCAGGCTGGAGCTGAGAAGAGGGGTGGTGGAGGATAGTGTCACACTTCTGAATTTGAGCTGATTAATTTGCTTAGTCATCCTAGACCCCGCAGAGAACGTTCCCTACTCTCCTCACGGGAAGAAGGAAGCAGTGGAACAGATACAGCCGAGGGATGCCTGGGACTCCTGGCTGGTCAGATGCTTCTCATGAGATCGGTCTCCAAAGACGGATAGGGAAAGGGGTGGAAGAGGGGCAAGGACTGGGTTTATATCAAGCTCCCATGGTCATGATATATAAGGATAACTACCACGAGAGCCTGAGAGAATTCCATTTTGAATGGTGAAGTAATCTCAGTTCAGGCTTGAGAAAAACAGTACGGGCACCAATCACAACTGGGGAAGAGAGGGAAGCCCTGGTGGGATCAGCCTGGCTGTCATGCCTGCTGCTTGGGACATGATGTTGGGTTGACAATAGACACGGAGGAGGAAGGAAAACGCATGTGAACAGCAACACTAAGTTCGTACTGTAGTCAACAGTCTCTGCTGCTGACAGGTGGACATTTCCCACTTGAACTGGCTGAAAACCTAAACGTTCTTCCTCCTGATGACAGGTGTACAGATGTTCAGAGGCCTGAATATGGCCCTAGAGCCCAATCAGCTGTGTAAAGACTCATCCATACAAGACCTGAGAAGGTCTGGTCCTTCAAGAGGAAAATCACTGGTAGTAAGAACTTTGGGGATCCCTGGGGACCAGCGAACACTACAGGACATGGCATTTCCTTACCTAGAGAATCCCTGGGTGGAAATCGGGGGTCAGTGGTGCACGCCTGCAGAGGGGGAAAAAGCAGGGGAGCTGTAGGCAGTGCTGTGCTGCCCCTGGTAAGAAGGGTGCATGCTGGTGTCAGGAAGACAGCAACAGATCTGCAAGCACCATTAGGCTCTGGTACCAATACTGGGTCCAGTCCCATGAGTCTCAGTGTCATGCCAAGAGAGAAGTATTGCTGGTGTTGACTACTGGTAACGGAGGTGACTCGGCCTCAGTCCTCACTGAGGGAGTCTGTGCCACACTGACCTGGGCTAAGTGATCCAGGTTTGGGACCCAGAATTAGTTCACAATTCTTTCCTCTAGTCCGAGGAGGTGGCTGGGTGCTATATGTCACCTCGATACAGTGCTTCCACCTGCTCTGAAGTGGTACCCGACTTCAGTGCCCATGTCCCAACGTCCACAGACAAAGCTGACTCCCCTCAAGCCCAGGCATGGAGAAGGCGCTGGCTAGAAACAGCGACAACTAGATGGCCAGAAGCTTTTGCTCAGTTTAGAGTTTTTGGAAGATTCTGAACGTTCAGTACAACCCAGCAGGTAACAAGTTGTGACACTGGGAGCAGAGGTCAGAAAGCTGCTCATCGGGTTTCAACACACTGGGTAGGGATCAGGCCAATACCCCTTCGTTTCACAGTTGTTAGGGTTAGAAGGGACCTCAACAGATCATCGAGTCCGACCCTCTGCCCTGGGCAAGAAAGAGTGCTGGGGTCAGATGAGACCCCAGCCAGGTGCTTGTCCAGTCTCCTCTTAAAGACCCCCAGGGTAGGGGAGAGCACTACCACCTCCCTTGGGAGCCCATTCCAGATTCTGGCAAGCCTTACTGTGAAGAAGTTCTTCCTGTCCAACCTAAATCTGCTCTCTGTCAGTTTGTGGCCACTGTTCCTGGTTATTCCTAGGGGTGCCCTGGTAAACACAGCATCTCCAAGTTCTTGCTGCCCCCCGCCCCCCGGTGAATTTGTAAATGGCCACTGATACTGAAGCTTTCACCATTTATTGCTAACAACTTTCACCTTTGGAGCCCTACGTGCCACTGCAGTTTATATCGTTATTTAACAGAGGACACTGGGTAAAACCCAGCAGCCTGCCCCTCCAGTGGAGACATGCCATCTGCACTCCAACAGCTGCTCCACTGGCAAAAGCGAAACAGCTGAAATTCCTCATCATGTAGACTGCATTGATCCCAGTACCCTCCGAGCTCTGGTCTCCATGAGGGCTGGCTCTCTGCAGCCTCACCCCAGCAGGGAACAATCATGCGTCACCTGCTGCTTTTACAAAAAATGCCTTTCTGCAAGTCCACTAATGAAATCCACCTGACAGCCGAGTAAAGGGATCCTTCACAGCACGGCTCCGGAGGCCTCTGAGAAGGGAGGTAGCAGCCAGCCTCCGAAGCCAACTTGTCACTCTGTGCTCCACATGCTGCTGACTCCAGCCGATACCCCAGTGCTAGCTATTAACTCCAGCAGGGCTTTGCAGTTGACTTAATTAAAGGGTTGTACAAACATTCATGCATATCTGTGTCTTCACTTACTGACCCCAAACAAGACGATAACAAATCCCTCAGGACACCGTCAGCCTGAAATAGTTTCAATCTGTGTGTTTGTGAATTAAATGTTTTGGAAAAACTTTATAATAAAAAGACACCTTCCACAGTAACAGTTACCTGCACTGTACCTGCAGGAGGGTCCATGCAACCACAGCCTCCAAAGCACTTACTAGTGTGGCGTCTAAGTGCTAAACAGAAATGCAGGAGTAAGGAGGAGCAGGTGTTCCCTCTCCTGTGTGCAGGGCAGGTGCAACTTGTCTGCATCTAGGAGGAAGGGTCCTGCTGCCTCCTTTGTCCAGCTCCCATCATT